TCATCAGAACCGACACGTGTCGGCTCCGATACGAACCTCACGCCCTGTGCTGTCTTTCGTTCTGAGTGTGAGACGTGTGGAAAGAGGCCCAGAAAAACAGCAAGATGGGGTGTGCCAAGGATTTTTGGAAATTGAGTGTGGGGACACATATGGAACTGAAATCCCCCGTGATGGTCCGATGAAGCAAGTCGATTAGTTTCGCGCGTCGGGGAATGCGCACGTGGACATGGCGCGAAAACAGAAAGATCCAAATTCAATCCAGAAAGTACTGTCGGGCTTCCCACCGGGCTACAGCCCGTCGTTTAGAACGGAAAGGCTCTGGCACGCTTCGCGTGTCTCGTTTTCGTATCACATCTCGTCGTCGTTCGCTGGTCTGTTCCGAATCCGACGTGGATGGTCTCAGCCGAGTGGCTCTTTCCTTATGCTCGTCCTCACTCCGTATTCGGTAGTGGAAGCCCTTCGCTTCGTAGCAATCGAAACGTTGGCACTTCGTGCACAGAGTGCGGGGCCAATGGGGCGCCACTGCCGTCCATGGAATGACGATCAACTCGTTAAACGACAACAATATCGAGTAGGGTGGAAAGTGCGTATCGATAATGACAAATCCGGCGTCTACGAACCCAGAACAACGGTTGGCCGGAGGGAAGTAATACTGCCCGCCGATTTGTGCGACGGCTTCGCGTACGTCTCACTCACATACACGTGTCATTTCCTCACTGTAGGGAAAAGGTCGCGTTGGGATGGGAGATACGAGAGGCTGACGCCCAATCGAAGGGTGCTTGTCAGTCCACATATCAATCAATAACATATATCCAGAGACGTCATAAAGAACAAAAATCATTCATGCGACCCTCAATCTATTCTTCTTGACACACGAGGGAGCAAACACACATCAGCTTTATCATGCATAGGGCTTAGGGACCGGCCCGCGACTCAGTTCAACACAACGTTGGTTTCCGGTGCCTTGTTTCTCAAGGTCGCCTGGTGGCGTGGCTGCTGATGTTGTGCCGCATATGGCTGATGGCATGCGCAATGCATTCGGGACTATAGATCTAAACACTCTTGTATTCTCGAACAAAATCCCGACGACACTCGTCTAATCAATCCGAAAAGTCACGCATCTCTATACATGCATTCACTGTAGAGGGTGCGAAAATCAGACATTCACAGGAAAAGATGGATCGCATTGCACAGTACACACGCATCCATCAATCACAAGACGGGGTCCTTGCGTAGGAGGATTACCCAGGAAACTAATGGAAGAGTTCCGGAAGAATTTCTTTCACACAGAAACAGGATGCCGACTCATTCCCATTCAAGAGAGGGACAATCATTCAGACGCATCGTCCTTCGAGAAGAAAGAGAGAGAGAGAGAGAGAGAGAGAGAGAGAGAGAGAGAGAGAGAGAGAGAGAGAGAGA